TCCTGAGTACTGAAGAGAGGGATGCTGGGGAGAACCTGACCGGAAGGGCCGGAAGGGTCAGGATTCTCCCCTGACCCTTCTCGTCAGTATTTCCCCAGCGAGGTACGGGCGGGCCACAAACACACACACACACACACACACACACACACACGCACACACACACACATGCATACAAGGAGAGTCAACCCACATTGAAGTTAAGAAGGAGGTGAGCGGAGACAATAATAATAATTATTATTATTATTTCTTCAAAGGGCAGTTTTTTTTCCTAGTTCGTTTTTTTCGAATTTTTCGAATTTTTTTCGTTGTTTTTTCGATTTTTTTTATTTTTCTGTGTGTTTTTCAGTTGTCATTTTTCTTTTTTTTATATTTGTTTATACATATTGATATTTGTTTGTTTCCCGACTGATAGGCCTTTGTCCGAATACAGACCCAGGACATTGGTGGTTTTATTTGGATTGTTTAGTCTGAAAAAGGCTACTCGTACGGAATGAGCGTGAACTGTCTCAAAGAAGGCTAAGAGCATATCGGACCCTGAACGAGGTAGGATTAGTGGTATTTAAACAAGTAATGATACAGTGAAAAACCTCTCTTACCGGCGAAGCAAGCGCGCCAATGCATACGGGCTCTTTATCGAAACGACAAACCCACGTGCGGAGGCACGTTCGCTCCCCCGATTGAGATTCTGCCGTACGTAACGTCGGATGCTCAGGCCTATGGAGGAAACTGTCACGCTTCTTTTTGCTCTCACGCTATCAGCGGAACTGTCGACAACATCCTTCAGAGTAATTCCTAGGATCTCCATTGAGGTATCAGCATCACTTTATTTCTCCTGCTCATTAGTCCTTGTAGGGATTTCCTGTGGCATAGCACCTTTGATCGCCATTTCACTTGGAGCACGCAGGCTAGTGTGATCGGCAGCATGGAATCTGCCTTCAGCTTCGAAGAGATGCTCGACTTGCATCTAGCGGATGAGGGAATTGGTGAAGCGTGTGGAGAAGTGCAGAAGGACGCGCAACCGGAGGTGATAACTATCGTTGTAAACCCTCCCGTCTACCTATCATCCTAGTCTAAAGTAAAGTTAATAAACTTCAGTATATGGAATGGTTCTCTCATGAGTATTTTCAGCGTTATGAATATTTGTGCTCTCCTTATACGGAACCTCTGATGAGCCAGCCTTCGACAAGGCTGGCAAAAAACATGTTTAAGGGATTTGCCGATACCCCAGCCAAACCTAGCGTCTGAACTTTCACCTACCTTTCTTATGGTAAAATGGTGATAGTTATAAGTGAGGAGAACCACTCTATAATAAGTATATGGGAGAAAAACTAGCATTAGCTGATTTTTGTCGATTACGGACTTACCACTTGACAAACCCTTGGCTCTTATGATCGGATCTGCCTGTTTAATATTTATGTTGGGAAAGCTCTTCTTGGTCTCCGCTATCTCGTGCGACCTTTCGTTTCCCATTGTGTTTGTCACTTTTCTGGATGGGGTTTCTTGTTTCTTTTTGTGATGATTTTTTTTTATCGTGTTTGGGAATTGGGAGTTCAACTGTTATACGCAGGTGATGAGGCATGAGGAMTGAAGGCGTTACGCTGAGGGGGAGCCTCTCGAACGTAATAATGGGGGATGCGTGTCGAGACTTGAGGGAGGATGMGTTCATGGCTAGAATTAGATGGCATGGGTTTCTTGCTGATAGGGGAATGAGTARAGTACGCGTGAATAATGTGGATTGACGGTTTCACAGGGTTGTCCGCGGGGAAAATATCCATCGCATGAGAGAGWGAGAGTAAGTGATTCTGTGTGTGGGTGTRTGTGGGGGGGGAGTTTAATGTTAACAGGACCATAGGCATAAGAGACATAACTGCGATAATCGTTGTACGTGGGTCGCAATCTGCACTAAGCTCATCTGTAGACAACTCCTCTACGATGGTGGAGCTTTTGGTAGTATGYGTTTTTGATGGACGRAACTGTTGAAAGTTKTCGTAGCTTAGGTGGTGGARGGAGTGAGGGATGTAATCCTGTTCCTGTGTTTGTGTTTGTTTTCGAGAGGCGTGAACAATTGACTGAGTAGTATCGGCAGTTTCGTGGAATAGCGGGATCGTAATCAGCTGAGTATACTTGTCTTCGTAGGCAGTTTCTCTTCAACAATTCCAGCAATTTCAATTGGGGTTCGTGTGGAATGGAGAAAGTACTATGGAATTCCCTGGGGTTTAGTTTGATGTGAATTCGGTTAAGATGATGACTTGGACATTTCGAGAGCTATGTATATGTTGTTTGGTTGTTTGATTTTTTTTGCTGATAGTCGGGTCTAGCGCTTTGATTTCGACAGTATCTCGATTGGATGTGAACCGGATGCTTTATGGTCTGATCTCCTGTAAATGAAATAGTGTCCAATGGTGAACGTCATGCTGTCACAATGGATCATGTCATCAGGATCGACGTGGGGGAATGAGGGATTTTATGGTTGCTTTATCGTGTGAGATGACGATGAACTGGAACACGTATGTATTACGTGTTGAGGCTACAGAAATATGTGTTCACACACATCTACACACACACACACACACACACACACAATCAATCAATCAATCAAGATCAAGATCTTGATTAATTGTATGGCTGATTGATTGATTGATTACCTATCTAGTTTTTCCGTTTTCTTTCGTTTGTTTTCTGTTTTTCGTTTTGTTTTTCGTTTTGTTTTTCATTTTTTTTTGTTTTTTTTTTCGTTTTCGTTTTCGTTTTCTTCTTCTTTTCGTGTGTTTTGTTTTTTTCGTTTTGTTTCTCGTTTTTTTTTTCGTTTTGTTTTTCGAAAAAAATAAGGAAAAAACAAAAAAAAATCAAGATATGGTCTCTCTCTCTGTCTCTCTCACACACACACACACACACACACACACACACACACACACATACACACACACACACACGCAATCAATCAATGAATCAATTAAGATTGATTGCATGGCTAATTGATTGATTGATTGACTATTCGGGTTTTCCGTTTTTTTCCGGTTTTTTTTTCGCTTTTTATTTTGTTTTCCTTTGTCGTTTTTTTTTTTTCGTTTTCTCTTTTTTT